TAAAAACTCACAACTTATAGTATGCTAACAGTAATTTGTTATTGAAGAAAAAATTAATGACTTTAGTGTAGCTTAATTATATAGTTTTTTTAACATTTCTTTTATTTTTTAACTTATTATATTGTACTGGGGATGTATTGTGACATTTACAAAATTGCTTATAATACTATATCTTAGTTAAATTCAACCTTTTATTATTCTCCTTTACCCCCCCTTCCACATTCTTAGAATAGTTTCAACAGGTCTTTTTTCCATTTTCATACATGAGTACATAATATTTCCGCTATATTCATCCTTCTACACCCTTTCCTTATATCCTCCCCCCTCCCACTGGTACCAACCCCCAGGCAGGACCTTTATGGTAGCATTAAGTAAAGTCCCAGGCCTTCACGGTCACTTACTACTCATTTACCCAGTGTGTCATAGGCCTCAAACTCCCTTTGTGGTAAATACCCTATATAAATACACCTTTTTTGTATGTGTGTGGTATTGGGATTTGACCTCAGGGCCTCATGCTTGGTAGGCAGGCACTCTACTACTTGAGCCATTCTACTAGCCCTTTTTTGTGTTGGGTATATTTGAGACAGGGTTTCTTGAACTATTTGCCAGGGCTGGCTTTGAACTGCAATCCCCCAATCTCTGCCTCCTAAGATTACAGATGTGGGCCATTGGCATCTGGCCCAATTTTTTTTTTTTGTACCATAGTTCATTGTACCTTTTCTATATTTTTGTTATGTTTAGGTATACCAATACTTACCATTGTGTTACATTTGCCTTCAGTATTCAGTACAGTAATGTCTGTACAGGTTTATAGCATTGGGATAGGCATTAGACTATATCATTTAGGCTTGTGGAATTATACTCTTGATTTTGCAAAAAGATGAAATCACCCAGCAATGCATTTCTCAATACCCATCCCTTTTGTTAAGTGATGTATAACTATATTTCAGTTTTCCTTTATTCCTAAAGAATATCTTTGCCAGGTATAAAATTCTGGATTTGCATTTTTTCTTCTTTCAGCATGTTAATTGGATGGACCCCAATGTTTCTGGTGTTGAGGTAGCTGCTGTTGTTTGCTTTTGTGTAATATGTTGGTTTGTCTCTGACTACTTTCAAGATTTTCTAATTATCTTGGTTTTTAGTGTTACTTTTTTTTCAAATATTTTTCTACTCTCTCTTTTTTTCCTTATAGAACTCCAGTTACATGTAAGTTACATTGTTTTTGTTTGTTTGGTGCTACTGGGTTTGAACTCAGGGCCTTGCACTTGCTAGGCAGGTATTCTGCCTCCTGAGCAACACCTCCAGTTCTTTTTGTTTCAGTTACTTTTTTCTAAGAATTTTTTGCTTGGATTGTATCCTCCTGCCTGTGCCTCCCAGGTAGGTGGGATCACAGGCACTCCACTATTTTCTGTTTATTGGTTGAGACCTGCTAACATTTTTTTTGCCCAGGCTGTCTTCATACCCCAACGCTATCGCCTCCCAAGTACCTGGAGTTACAAGCATGAGCTCACCACATGGCAGCTTATTTATATCTTTTGATACTGTCCTATGGGTCACTGAATCTGTGCGTTTTTTATTTATATTTTTTTTATTTTTGCAGTACTGAGGACCAAACCCAGGACCTCATGCATGCTGGGCAAGCGTTCTACCACTCTGTCTCCAGCCCCTGTTTCTTTTTTTTCCTCCTCCTTTTTCCCTCCCTTCTCTGTTCTCTAGATAAGAAATAGCTACTGATCTATTTTCAAATTTACTGACCCCTCCCCTTTTTTAAAATCTATAATCTGCTGGTAAGTGCATCCAAACATTTTTTAAAGATTTTCTTTTTCAGGTTTAGAATTTCCATTTGGTTCTTTTGATAATTTCCCTTAACTCTGCTGAAATTTTATATTTACTTATTCATAGAAGCATTTTTTCTTTTCATCTTTGAGCACAGTTATAATAATTACTTAAGTTGTGTCACTTGTAACCTGGTTATCTTGAGATTGGTTTTGATTGATTTTTCCCTTTAGTTTAGGTTATATTTTCTAGTTTCCTCGTAGGTCTAGTAATAAGAATTTTAGACTTTATGGTTTATACTTGAGGATAATGTAGATTTTATTATGTTTGTGTGGAGAAAGTTGGGTTTTGTTTTGCTTTAATGGGACTCAAAACTCTAAATTCCTGTGACTTCTGTGGCGCTCAGCATTAGAAATTTCTGCTTAATTTTTTGTAGCCTTAATTGGGCTGCTTGGAGTCTATCTCAGATCTGTAGTTCAGGGGTCATCTCCAGAACTGATTGTGTTCTTTCTGGGATTTTCCCCCTTGCTTTCCAGCAGCTTTGGTTGCCTCAAACTCTTGTCCTTTAGTTCTTCAAGCCAGTAATATGAGTAGACTTGCTTCAAGAATTTTAGGGCCCATTTCTATAAGCAGACCTGTCTTCAGGCCAAAAAAATTCCATTAAAAGAACTTTTCTGTGCCAGACTGTTCTTTTACATGTAGACTATCTTCCAGTTTCTGTTTTTAGTTGTTTTCCATTGCCTGCAAATACTTGGGGTTTTTTATGTCCAGAGTTTATAATTAGTAAAAGGGTTTGGTTTGATGAGAGCTACTTTCCTATTGCTAGGAAACATGAGGCTCATGTAAACTCTTTGAGAACAGTTCTCTGTAAGATCTTACACATTGAAGATGCCAAGTGAATGCTTACTGAATTTATGGATGAATGAAATATTTGTAAGAATTACTAATGAACCATCTTTTCTACCAAGTTACAGAGATAAAAGAAGAGCTTATTTGCTATCTAGATACCTACTTTTATGTAATACCAGTTCAGATCTTTTGCCTAATTTTTTATTTAAAGAGTTCTTTGTGTACTCTGGATACAAGTCCTATATTAGATACGTGATTTGTAAGTACTTTTTCCTCTAGGCTCTTGTTTATCTCTTCACTTTCTTGTCTTTTGTAGAGCATATTTCTAATTTCGATGAAGTTCAGTTTATCAACTTTTATAGACTCTGCTTTTGATGTTAATCTAAAAACCGTAAAACAAAGTCATACGGGTTTTCTGTGTTTTCTAGAAGTTTCGTAATTGTAGCTTTTACATTAGGTACATCCTCCATTTTGAGGTAATTTTTTTTTTTGATATACTGAGTATTATGATTTATCCACATAGTTAACTGTTTTTGTTTATCTTAATAGCTCAAATTGGCCTGGAACCTGCTATGTAGCCTAGCCTGGCCTAGAATTCTCCATTCTTTTGCCTTAGCCTCCTTAATGTTGGGATTATAGGTATGCACACCATTCCCAGACCTTGAGTTAATTTTTATATATTAAGGTATAAAGTATGTGTTGAGGTTTCTGTTTTGTTTTGCATGTGGACATCTGATTGTCCCAACACAGTTTGATGAACAGAGTGTATGAATAGTTATTTTTTTTAATATCTGACTTTTGAATGACTGTGTGTCTGCCACTATTTTAAGTGTTTTGTTATGTAATTCAGTGTTCACAGCAAGACCATATGGCAGGTGCTGTTCTCATATGAGAAAGTTGAAAAAAACCGATTTAGGTTATATATTCAGAGTTACAGAACTACTAGGTGTCTGAACTATAATTTAAGTGCAATTGTCTCTTTGGAAGTCACATTAAGGAGTTTTTATCTTCAGGGAAGGATTAAGATATGGGACTCATGATCAGAATGCATTCAGAAAGATGACTATATTTTGGAGATTTATTGTAGGATGGAAAAATGGGAAAGAGAATTGCAGTGGTTTAGGTAAGAGGTGATGATGTTCTCAACAACTAAAACAGCCGGAAAATGGATAGATTTAAATGAGGTAAGATTAATTTCACAGGACTTGGTAAATGATTGGATACTGAGTAGAAGAAAGGAAAGATTAAAAAGGAGGGGATGAAGAGTAACATTGAAATTTTCTGTGTTATATCCAGGGAATGGAAAGAAGAAGATAATCAGGAATTTTGATTCATAAATACAAGTTTGGGGGGAGGAGGGAAGGTGTTCCTAAACATATACATAGTTCTCAAAACATTGAGAGTAGGTGTGATTGCTGAGGGTACAGGATAGTGAAGAGAGTACTTCAGACAGAATTACTGGGGAACACTAACATTTAAGGGGTGAGGACCCAAATAGGAGTCTGAAGAAGCCTAAGAAGTAATTAGAGACCTCAGAAAGTAGAAATTATTCTCATAAGAGACAAAGTAGGAACAGAGAACAGTATTATAGGATGAGGGAGTGCTTTCACTTAACAAACTAAAGTTTCAGAGGGAGAGAATTTGACTAGGGAAAATAATTGGGTTTTTTCCAAGTTGAATTTGAAAGCTATAAATTTGTGGTGGCTTTACTTTTGTATGTTTTTTCACCTATCATTCTTACTGTAAAAGGTAAAAGACTACCAACTCAGCACATTGTCGCTTAAGAGATGAAGAACATTTCAAACTTTAGGAATGAAAAGACAGAAATATGCTTTGGTTTAGTTCGAAAAGAAGGAAAAGTATTATTCTTGAGGAAATCTCACTCTGAAAACTATATTCTCACTACACAATAAATGTTTTTGGTTACAATTGAATCACCATTTCATTGTATTTTACCACTTCAGTATTTATAGTGAAATTTTTGTCATTGGTGTAAAGTTTACAAATAAGAAATACTGAGAAATTTTGATGACTCTTAACAGAAAGGATTAAGTAACACAAAGCAACCTTACATTTAGAAACAACATAAAAAGATGATTATATTTTTGTGTTTAAGCTTGCTTTTTCTTTTGCTTAAGAACTTGTATTTAGTTTTCTGTTGGCACACAGTAATTCAAGAAGCTTTGAACCTATGTTTTTCCACAAGTTTTAATGTAGGTTGTTCTTGGTGTACTTTATTTGGGAAAACCTGTCTTCATAAATCTATTCTTGCTCAATTCATACCATGCTAATATTAGTAATAGCAGCAATATAACACAGTTGATACTCAGTTTGAAATTTTCTTTCCACTAATTTTTGTTTTTGTTATTCAACAGGTTTGATCTGTGGATGAAATGAATCATGATTTTCAAGCTCTTGCATTAGAATCTCGGGGAATGGGAGAGGTAAATACTTTGCTATGAACTTACATCTCATGTTAATTCTTTGAGACATTCAGACTTATTTTTTTAATTATAAATCTTGAAAATAGTTATGTCTTCAAAACTATATATATTTAATCTCAGGTTAAACAGTTGTATAGTTTTTCTTAAAAAACCTATAGCAGTAATTTTTAGTAATTATTTGTGTCTAGATGGTTTGATTGTGTCTAGATAATGTCTTACATTTTGGCAATGAACCATGTATAATTAGCTTTTCTCAGAAGAAAACGTTTAATTCTTGTTATGCCATTTTATATATGTATGCTGTGTTTGCTTTAGCTACACTTGATTATTTACTAATCTCCCCAAAATCTGTTGTTCATACAAAGATATTTGCTTAGTAAACTTCTAATCCTCTACAAGACTCTACTGAAAAGACTCATTATCTATTGTCCCATTGCTATCTGCAATAGAATTATTTCCTCATCTAGCTTCTTTAGTTCTTTATACATACTTTTATTGCATTTATGACTATAGCTTTATATTTTCTCCTAAAAATTGCTAACTTCGAATGCCTAGCATAGTAGGTATTTTTTAAATAAACTTCGTCATTCTTGTTAAATTATGATTTTCTTTGGGACACCCATTTTAATTTCAGTAGTCCATATTTTAAGGCGTCTAAAATACTTATTTTTCCATATCCCTAATGAATTGTCTTTTAGAAAACTTTAATTATGAAAACTCTTGTGGTCATGTCTTTATTTTGTTATGTTCTTTGTAGTCCACATAGTGTGAACTTTAATAATAAAAAATAATAGTAAACAGACCTAAGATGTATAATTAATTGCTTGCTCCTGGAGATTATTTTACTTTGGTAGATTAGAGACCTTCATGAGACTCACTCCATCCAATGCTGTGCTCTTCAGATGCAGAAAAAGAGTCCAGTCACTCCTTTGGGCCACAAGAGGGCACCCTGCAGCTAGCTAACCCTCCCCTTCTTCAGAACAGCGTTTTCCAAAGAGTTTGTCATTTTCAGAGGACTGATTTAAGGGTGAGTTAAGGTGCTTAAGCTTAAGTATTGCCAAAATAAACTTGTTAGTCCAGTGCAAAGATAAAATTCTGGGCCCTAAGGAAAAACATTGAGAGAGGGAATAATTTTTTTTGTTTAAAAAGAGGCAGTTAAAGGACTTTTGTTTTTTTCTCTGCCACTTGTTTTCTTTGCTCTTTAGAAAGCAGAATAATAGACTGGAGGCACGGCTCAAGTGGTAGAGCGCCTACTTTGCAAGCATGAAGCCCTGAGTTCAAACCCTAGTCACCCCTCCTCCCCCCCCCAAAAAAAAAAAAAGAGAAAGCAGAATAATATGTTTTAAAAGCAGGTTGGGAGCCAGGCATGGTGGTACATGCTTGTAATCCTAGCACTCAGGAAGCTGAGGCAGGAAAATTGTGAGTTGTAGTCCATTGTGGGCTACATAGTGAGTTCAGGCCAGCCTTAAGCCACATAATAAGACACTGTCACGAGAAAAGTCTGTGACAGAATTGAACTACTAGATTCTTTTAAGAGCAAGTAGAGTCACACCCTACACTAATTTTAGTTAGACTCCTATCCTTTACTTACCATATGTTATTGTGTATTTACAAATGGATTCTTTTTTCCCCCTCTGTAAGTAATATGTGATAAATCTAAAAATATATCTTTGCTATTCAAAAATGTCATGGTCAGAAGCAATGGTTGAGTTATTTGGGGGTGGAAGAAGATTTTAGGAAAAGAGGAGTTGGGTTGAATAAAACGTAAAGTGAGTTAAGCTTAAATCCAGACTTTCCTAACAGACATTATCAGATGTGCAGAACAAAAGTAACGAGGGCTTAGACCTGGTGGATAACATCAGTTCATGTATCTGACTTTCATCCAGTGAGAATGTATTTTTAAGTAAGCTGTTTTTGCTAAGTTTTTTTTCTTAACAGTTTTTGATTAATATTGTGACCCTAAGAGATAGCTAAGAAACCTTCTCAGATTTCTGTCTCTGGGTTCTCTCCCACAAGCCTTTCTATCTTTCCTCATCTCACAGGCAGCAGGGAACCTTCTGGGATTTCCTACTTTGCCCCTCTCTCTCTCACCAGTCTTCTCCTCCTTTCCTGACAGGTGAGGTGCTTTGTTTTTGTTTTATCCCAGAATTCAGTTCATTCAGTGGAATAAATTAAAACAGCCTTCTTCAGTTTCTGGCTCTTGAGTTTTCTAAAATTGCTTATTGGTTGTTTTTTTTTTTAACAATGCAGAATTTTTTTTTTAATGGATTGCCCTATCCTTTAAAGTTTTACTACTATAAGTATTGTAAATCTCAAATATAGGAAGAAACACTGAATATACATACAAGACTCATTTAAAATGCTTTTTGTAGATCATGATGGCTTTATTTACATGTCATCACAAGGGCAGTCTCTCAGTTCTTAAACCAGAAATAGAAATAGTTCTGTATTTATCTATTCCTAAACTTGCCCCTTGTATTTTTTCCCTAATAGCATGTTTTCATCAAAGACCTACTGGTTTGCATTGTATCATCTGGCTTAAAAAGAGGAAACATAGTCCTTCGGAGATATTTAGCTTCATTAGTATATGTAGTGTTTTAGTCATATACATTGCAGATGCACTTGCCTATTCTTCTTCTCCAGGTTATTAGGGTATGTATAGCTGCATTCTTGTTTATTTGTAAAATAATGGGGAGAAGGATCCTGTGTGAAATTCCTTAGAGAACCCAAAATTTAACTTTAAATCACTGAGTTAGTGTTTTTTTATTCTGAGAATAGTTTCATAGCTTAGTGTAAAGGAGAGATCAGTCTCTCCTTTCCTGATCCAATAATATTTAAAGAAAGTATTAAAGTTTATGTACCCAGATGCCAGATAGTGTGCTGAAGTGGAAAATGTACTGGATAGAGGAATAAGAAGACGTCTGTTTTCTCTCTGGTGCTATGACCTTGAGGAAGACTGACTTCTTTGAAAATAGAAATAAGACTGAGATGTTGTATGAATTGTATACTTCTTAGAAATACTCTTTAATCTCAGTTACAGATAGCTGGAATGAAAATGAGCTATTTTAGATAGTGTTTCAGTAGCTGACTGTAATTTTTCTACATAATTCCTGTCTCAGCAATTCTGTGTTTAAAAGTTTATCTGCTACAATGGGGAAAATACCACAATAATATCCTAAACTTTAAACTTTTTTTATTTTACTGTGTAGAGGTCTTTATACTGGAAATTTTCAGAAATATTGATGAATGAGACTAATTTTAAAAACAAACAAACCCATCTTCTGTGGTAGTTAAATGTAAAGAGAAAGGCTTACAATTATATAGCTATGGATTCAAATTCCCGTGTTTATAACATTGGACAGGTTAACCTCTAGCTCTTGTTTCGTTTTGCAGGATGTGACTATATTAGGCATCTGTCTTTCCTAAGTAATAGGGTTTCATCATCTCCCAAGGATACTTATCAGACTGATTCAAGAAAAAAAAGGCAAATAGCTATAGATAAAATCCTGGTGATGAGTCTTACAACTCAAAATAGGCAGTTAAATGTTCCAAATCAGTGTGTTAACTTGTGTTTTATTGTATTAAAGCCTTCATACTTGGAGATACAATAGACTCCAATATTTATATGATTGCTATGTGCTAGATGATGTGCCAAGCTGTATGTTTTTGTTTTCGTTCTAGGCTTAACTTATGACAGGAGCTTTATTATTATCTTAACCTTTAGAGGTGAGGAAATAAGCTGATCTATAAATTGGCTGGCCTGAGGCCACATAGTATTACTCCAACAGCAGTTTGAACTCATGAGCGTCTTGACTATTTATAATACTACTTCCCATTGGAAATAACTGCATTTAATGTTTGCTGTCTGATATTAAGGGGTATTAGGAATGGAGATGTGGGGAGGTGGTTACAAGTTGAAAAATTAAAGTATTAGTATATCTTATTTGCAGAAATGCTTAAAGTCTGGGAAACTATCATTCTAGGGTTCTAAGGAATTCTTGTGTGTTTTATTTTCTGCACAACTACGTTTTTAATATCTGTATCTTTTATGAATTTGTGTTATAAGTAGAGTGACCCTACATCCAGTTATGTATCTGTTGTTAGGGCATAATTATTAACAGCATCCCTTTTGTTGACAGTGTCCCAATTTGGATGATAAAATATATGAACTCCTTAATCATTGTATGGAATTTAGCTTTTAAATCCTTTGAAGTCTTTGGATTATGTTAATATGGCTGGTTTGGAATTTTATGTAACAGTTTGTAATGAGAAAAATCTAAGATGAATGTACTTCTTATAAATGCTGGAGTACGAATTTGTTTACTTTTGAAGCAGTATGCTAGGGTGCTGCTGATTTCTTTGGAAATGGAGAAGGCAAGCCATAAATTCTTTCTGAAGGAAAGAACATTATATATGTCTACTTAGGATAGAAGGGCAGGTTGACAAGAAATACCAAGTGTACTGACCTTGGCTTAGACTCTCTGTGAGTTAGGGAACTATATGGTATTGGATAATATGTTTTGTAGATATTTAAAGTTTCTTAGCCGTGTTTTCTGTAATATGCATCCTTATTTCTACAATGGAAAAAAGAGTCTCTAGGGACAAATCTGATTTTTTTTCTGTTGCAATCAATTCATTGTGTAAACTTCAAAAAAAAAACTTTTTAACTCTTTGTTTTCTGAATTGTAGCCTTCTTTTATATTTAGTCCATGTTAAACTATCCTTGGTCACAAGCTAGTAAAAGTATTTGAGTCAGTAAATTGCCACAGAAAGTGGTTTATAGAATATTCCTATGAAGGCCTTTGTTAGAAATGTTAATTTTGACTGCTACTTATTTTCCTGTGCATGATAACTTACTGATATTTACAAAATGAAGAAATACTCATAGTGTATTGCTTGGTAAGTGTTTGGCATAGTTTTTTCTCCTACTTACGTAGTTTGCATTTTAAAGCAGTAGCCTGTGAAGGCATTCGCAGAAATTATCTCAAAAGATTTGGATCACCTCACAGGGGTCCTTTTATTTCTGCTACCTTGGAAGATGAGTACTCCAGCACCTTCATTGCCTGTGATTAATGCTTCTATTCCTTGTTAACAACTTTTTTTTATACTCTTATTTTGGTGTTTTGTTGTTGATACTGAAACATTCTTCTTCATGAGGTATGGGACAAAACATTTATTTAAGGGATGATTTTCATCTGCCAGAAATGCCTTGTACAGTATTTTGAAGGGATTAATGTATGTTTTTTTTAATGAATAAATGTTCAATTATTTAAATATATTAAATATGCTTTAATGTTAGTATTATCTGCTTTATATTTTGTTTGACTATTTACATGAATCTTTTATAGTGAGATTTTAAAACTGAAGGAGTAGAGGTATTTATAGCTTACTGGGATCTTTGTTAGAGTAAATTATTTAAATGTTTATATGTATTGTATAAATGTTTATACAGGGCATTTACAACCTAACCTGCAAAATCATTTTTAATAAATGGAAGTTTGTTTCTTTAAAATTACAAGTGTTTATGTAGTGAAAGATTAGAAATATGCCCAAATTTAGATTTTTCCCTTCCCTTCAAAATTTGTTTCTGGTTTCCTCACTTCACTCCACTCTTGTTTTGGTCAGTGATACTGTCATTTACCTTGTTGCCTAAGCTATTAAGGTTTTCTCCTTTTATCAGCCTTTCCTACCATTTGTATTTAGGTCCTGCTGACTCCAAAATGTTTCTCAAATCCATTGTATTTCTCAGTTCTTTCTGTTAGTACTCTTTCAGTTATTGCTATCATGACTTTTTTTTTTTTTTTTTTTTTTGTTTCAGTTTTCTTAAACTGGTCTCCTTGCCTTTAGTCTTTCTGACTTCTATGTGTTATTATAACCTTAGTTGTTTTCCAAAATATAATAGGTTTTTAAGGGTCCTCATAGTTGACCTGGTTAGCTTTGCCGGCATCGATTTTTGGTCTCTTTTGTTCTAATAGCTTATACTCCGTTGTACACACTGCATTTCTTTCAAGTTTTGCCTTTATTCATGTTTTACAATATCTTCCTCATCTTGCACTCCTACTTTCAACCTCCAGCACCTCACACTATATTATTTCTCAGACTCCAATCCAGGTGCTACTAAGTTACACTTTATTATAGTCTATATGTTTGTGAGCTCCCCAAAGATGAGGTCACTATGCCTTTAAGGAGGTATTCACAGGTAATTTAGTGTGATAAATGTAGTAATAGACGTATACACAAGTTTGATTTTGAGCACTGGCTGACTGGGCACCTAATTATGAGCTGAGAATGATAAGTGTCTTATGAATGTCAAATGTATGATTCAAAAAACCGTCTGTTCAAACAAATGTATCCCAAGTCTACCTTCTCTGAGTGTGAGGGACAGTAGAGAGGAGAAACCTCAGTAGATATTTAAAAAGTTAGGAATTGCCCAAACAGTACATTTTGAGTATCCGGTGAATGGTTATATCAACAGCCTTTACAGGCTGTATATGTTACCATGTAGGATAGAGCACAGGATTGTTAGCTCAAAGGTATTTACAGAGATTTTTTTTTTTCTCCTGTGTGTTTTTATCAGCATGTGTTTTTGACTTGGGACAAACAGATTGATAATATTTAGGAGCTGCTAAAGTTGTGTTATTCACATCCTTGAATAACTGAAGTAAGAATAAAAAAATGCTCTGTTGTGGAAGCTGTATAATAGGAGATTGTCAAGGCAATATTTGGAAGTAAAAGAAAAATTTTAATCATTTTTATTTTCTCTTGAGAAAACTTTGAAGAAACTTACATGTGAAGTAAATCACGTAAGAAAAATATTTGAACATTTTCAAAAGAAAATGTAGGCTAAGGTCAGAAGTGGATGTTGATTAATATTTAGATCAAGAATTATTAGAGCCAGTGCATAAACGTAAGTAGGGAGTTATTTACTATTAATGAGCCAACTTAGAAATTAGATCACTCTGAATTTCGATTTTTTTTCTTTTAGTCAAAAACTAATGTGTACATATCGATGATGTTTGCTATTCCTTAAATATTGAATCTTTGCAATTAGAATAAGATTTAAAATGTGAATTGCTTTTCCTCCCAAATAGCTTTTGCCTACCAAAAAATTTTGGGAACCTGATGATTCAACAAAAGATGGACAAAAAGGCATATTTCTTGGGGATGACGAATGGAGAGAGACTGCATGGGGAACTTCTCGTAAGTTACTGGTGTTTGTGTGAGAATTATAAATAGACTCCACTGTTTTTTAGAACCCTGTCTATCTCTACACAATTTGTGGTGAAAACTTGTGGTGTCTTCATTGAGGATTTTTTGTAAGTCATTATGATTCACATTTTCTTAGGGCAGAGTTACTGTTATCGGACAGCACACTTTTACTTAGTACATTTAATTGATTGGAGGAGTTTATCACATTAAATTCAAAGCCCTGAGTTCAAACTCCACTACTGCAAAGGAAAAAAAATTGTTAAGGGAAAAGGAACTTAGCTTGCAAGAGTCACTATATTTTTTTGGTAAATTCAGAAGCACAGTTAATATTCTTAAAGCCAGTTTGCCATTATATTTTTTAAGTAATGTTTCTGATCAGTAAAATTTGAGAGATGTGTAGATAGAATTATCAACATGTATTTTACAAATAAGTTTTGCCTTTTTATTATTGAGTTTAATACAGCTTGCTTAAGCTATGCAAAATGACCAAAGTAATAAAACAATGAATTCTCAGGTGATAATTACCAAATTAGTCTTACATTTTGAGTGCAAATTACCCTGTGCTCTTTTATTCTTCAGGTTATTAAAATATATTAAAAGATTTTAAACAATTTTATAGCTTTAAAATTTGTTACTGTTACACTAAGGTAGTTGCCTAAAAGTTAGGAAGTTGTAGAAAACTTTAGTGATTTTTTTTTTTTTCAGTCAAAATAGATCAGAAACTGTGTTAACATCCAGTAGATAGATATTTCCTTAAAAACTGAAAATATTCCTTGAGTTCAACCAATATGTAGCATGTAATGTGCCAGATTTGGAGATAGATTTGATTCTTGCTCTAAAGACTTGTTTGTTGTTTTTTTTTTTAATTAGAACTAATATATTTTAGACAGACAATTTAAAATACTCTACAAACTGAATGGGATACATGTTCTAAGAGCACATGTGCTTGATAACTTGATGGGTGCACATGTTTTGGAAGTTGAATGGATAATGGCTTCACTGGAGCTAAACAGTTTTTAAGGTATTCACAAGCAAAAGCATCTTATGCACAACCAGTGAATAAAAGATTGTTTTCAAGATGGGTGCTAGAAAAAATATCAAATTTATAATATTAGTCAGTTCTTGTATTACTTCTAAACCATTACATTGACAAAATTTTGATGTTAGTCTTTTAACAGAAAACTTGAGAAAATTAGGAACAAATGAGATTTTGTTTGCCTAACGTTTGTTGGATGCCACACGCAAACAAATTTGAATAATGCATTTCTTGTTCTAAAGGAATTGTAATTCTAAGAAAGATTCTCTTTCTATAACTGCAGGAGGCTTAATCATATACCGTACTCCTCAACTAAAGCAGTATACTTTTGATAGTCAATTTGATGATGTTCTCTTAGCACTTCCAGGTCTTGAAACATGCTGGTATCTGTAAGTGCTCTCATTCCACCTTCATTAGCTCACTTTGTAACTTTTACCCTTCCTATTCAGCCTGTCACTTCCTTTGCAATTCACTCAAGACTGGGAAGAATAAATGTCCCACCTTTACTGTTCTCATAGTATGATTGAAGGACTTTTATCGTATTATAATTGTCCTCTTAAATCTGTGTTCTTTTTGAGGAGAGAGACTGTCTTTTTTGATCTTGGATTCTCCATATGTAGCACAAAGTCTGGCATACAAGAGATAATAAAACAATATTTGAGCTATGTAGATGAATGATTGAAGGAAAGTATATAGTGATTAATCTCTTATGGAAACAGGTACTGAAATGGAAATGTTTTAATATGGCTTAACAAAAATAGCAATGATTTCAGAATTACTGCTTTTAATGAAATGATAACTGAATACCCTGGTGGTATTCAGCCTAGGTAATTTAAGGTCTAGACCTAATATTGAGTATTGTACCTGCACACAAATGAGCCATAGGCAACTGGTTGCTTCTTGCTCCCTTTATAAGAATTTCAACACAAATGAGTTGAATGTTGCCTCAAATGTGTTAATTGTATTTGTATTCTTCTAGCTCTCAAATTTTAAATAATTGCCTTTTCATGAAACAAATACAGAAAAGGTGTTTATATCAGGTGGATAATATTACTGATTTTTTTCAAATATCCATTTGTGTTTATAGTGTTACAGCAGTATGTTCTAAAGCTGTCCAATACTGTGATCTTAAGAAATACTAACCATTTGGAAGGAGTTGTTTTTATTTTTCTACTTTTATCACTAAAGGTTTTCATTATGAATTGTTGTGTAATGACTCACCAACAGAAGATGAACTTTTTAATACAATATTTACAAGCCACTCATCTTACAGGTTCATGTTTCTGCTTACACTGACTTTTTTTGGTTTGGTTTAACTGTTCTTTGCATAGGCTTTTACTTATTTATCACCAAATGACTGTTTATATCTGTACTTTCTTTTTCATTTTATTTTACTGTTTTTCCGTTTATTTACATGCATGTACATTATTTGGGCCACCTTCCTCTCCCTCCCACCTCCGCTTCCAGGCAGAACCTGTTCTACCCTCTTGTTCTCTGATTTTATTGAAGAGAAAACATAAAAGATAAAAGAGAACATAGTGTTTTTGCTATGTCTTGAAGAAATGGACAAATTTCTAGATACCTATGGCCATCCAAAACTGAACCAAGAGGATATTAACCACCTAAAAAGATCTGTAACACATAATGAAACTGAAGCAGCAATAGTCTCCCAAAAAAGAAAAGTCCAGGACCTGATAGATTCTCTGCTGAATTCTACCAATCTTTAAAGAAGAGCTAATATTCCTTAAACTTTTCCATGAAATAGAAAAGAAAGGAACACTGCCTAACTCATTCTATGAAGCCAGTATTACATTCATCCCCAAACCAGATAAGGGCATATCCAAAAAGAACTAGAAGCCAATATCCTTAATGAACATTGATCCAGAAATCCTCAATAAAATAATGGCAAACCAAATCCAACAACATATCAGAAAGATCATTCACCATGACCAAGTTGGCTTCATCCCAGGGATGCAGGGATGGTTCAACATATGCAAATCAATAAATAATGTATCTGTGCTTCTAAGAGAAAAATACTCATTGACCCCAGCCAGTGAGTTTCAACAGAAAGAAAAACTTTTTATAAGATTGTAATGATAATATTTAAAATTAAGTGCTAGTTTTTCTTTATTATATTACTTTGTATTACTACATTTTGTTTAACTTAAAAGTACTAATATGTTACTGTATTTTTTTCTCCAAACAGATCATTCAATGTCCCAGCCTATTATGGTACAGAGAAGATCTGGACAGGGTTTTCATGGAAACAGTGAAGTAAATGCAATTCTGTCTCCGCGATCTGAAAGTGGAGGCCTTGGCGTGAGCATGGTAGAATATGTATTAAGTTCTTCTCCTGCTGATAAATTGGATTCTCGATATAGGAAGGGAACTTTTGTAAGTATTTTGAATAGGTGAATGTTTGATGTTTTTTGGTAGCTTTTCTTCTACAGCTGAAGGAAATTTTGTTGCTATTTGTACTTTGTTCATTGTCCACCTCATGAAAGACATGAGATAATAGAACCATTGGAAATAATTTATTTTAACCATGTTACAAAAATCAAATAATTTTAAAACATTGTTGCAAATAAAAATGATTTATTCTTAATAGTTCTTGATCTCTAACTAAATAAAACTATTAATTAAATATCTTAATCTAGTTGTGGTGTTACTGCTTTTCCAGCACCGCTATAGTTAAGGTTGCCTTAACCCTTCTGTTATAAATCACCAGTTGTACTCAATTTTTTGGACTTTGCTAAATTAGTTAACAATGAACTTAAAATAAGATTCAATGCCTTTATTGTCTACATGCACTGTAGGTGTAGTTTTAGGGCACCTAATAGTGCTTTTTTTGTGTGTTTTATTAAGTATTCAGAATCAAACAGATTCTTTTTCCTCAGGGCACTAGAGATGCTGAAACAGATGGACCTGAGAAAGGAGATCAAAAAGGCAAGGCTTCTCCATTTGAGGAGGACCAAAACAGAGATCTTAAACAAGGAGATGATGATGATTCTAAAATAAATGGCAGAGGTTTACCAAATGGAATGGATGCCGATTGCAAAGATTTTAAGTAAGCTTTTAACTTTCTCAAGAAGAAAAGCATATTGTCTTAGGGTTTATTATAATCAGTTGGTGTGGTTGATTTAGATTTTTCTTTTTTTTTTCCAATTTAGGTTTACTTTTTTCCTTTGTATCTTGTGTTAATCGGGAGAAAGAAACACTTTATTTCATAAGGAAAATTAATGATTATGAGCCATCAAAAAGAAGTCTTCAAAACAGTATCTACAACAGTACATTCTGTTAAAGGAGTAATGTTAGAGGCTGCCATTACTTTTTGGCTAATGTGATAGTCCAAATTTGAATTTTTTCTTCTGCTACAATTTAGAGGATTACAGATTTAATCTGATTTTTCCCCTCTCCTCGTGGGATTGCTTTTGAGCACCATTCAAATGTAGACTTTTTCTCTTCTATTCCTGTACTTACTCCCTCATTCTCTTTCCCCCTTCCCACTTAATTTTTAATCTTAGAAATCTGTCATAATTACTTTAGGAACAGTGATCTTTCTTAAAATATATGAGTTTATGCTAATACTTAGGTTTGTTCCTTCAAACAGAAACCGAGAAACATTTGAGACTTTAAAAAGTTAGTTTTAAGTTAAGATTTCTTTAAGCTAATAATTTTTTAATTACGTATTTAGGCAGTTAAATGAGTTAGTTTCTTTTAACCTTTAGTATTAAATTAGGTAATGTGGCTGTGTGCATTTATCTATGTATTAGGAAGTTGTTGTTTCATACTGATCCTGTACTTCACACTTCAGTATTCAGATGCTTTAGAACCTTTACCTGAAAATGAACTGTTTCTTTGAGATCTTGTGAACCATGAAATTTTAGATAATAGAGTATAGGTTCATGGTGAGTTACATACTTTTATATTTATTGGCTTTAATTACCAGAGCAGCATAACAATGCTTCATAAAGTGTGCCATTTCCATCCATTCTGAGTGCAAAAAGAGCATCCAAAACCAATAAACCTCTTTTAACAAGAAATAAATTTAATGTTCCAGTTTGTTTTAGAACTTTTTCCTGATTTTGCTCTTCTTTTACTATGTAATCTTAAGTGTTACTGAAAGACATGTACTTAAAACTCAGTTGATTATAAACCTTTCAGATTATATATTTATAATTGAAGTGTTAATACACCATTAACTATAGCAAGAAAATAGCACCACTGATATAGCACAATGATTATTTTCTTATGTGTCCTGCTTTCTGCTGTCTTGAGTTATTTTGTGTAAAGGTTATACTTTTTCCATTAAAATATGAATATGAACTTTATTAGCATTCTAATTTTATTTCTTTAAGTTTTGAATATGCATTTGAAATTGTTTAAGTATCTTAAGTATATTAGTCACTACTTGACAGTGTAAAAATTTTTTAAAAGAATAACTGGTCATATGGTCTCTGTCAGCATATTATTAATATGAATCTTAACTAATGTATCATCAGTATATAAATTGCTGGAGTAGAGCTGAAATGAGGTAAAGAACTATCATAGGCTTTTTTTTAAGTAGTTGACTTGAAGGAAAATTCTTTTAGTAGTGTTTTCTTCCCATATATTTTGAAAGAAAAATGAACCTTAAAAGTTTTCCCATGCAAGTTAGTTGTGGTTAAAGGGGAAATGACTGAAATCTTCTAACGTTGCAATGAGAGTGGTTGACTGTTAAATAAAATATATGCTCATTTAGGTATCTGGAGGAAAGTTCTTATTATTAGGAATTGCTTTTCATAGTGCTCATGTTAGCAAATTACGCCAATGGAAGAGCACTTGAAGTTAGGGCCAGTTAGATGAATATAACAACTGGCATTAACAGGTAGAACACTCATTGCCATTACTTAATATGATTATGCTTCAATATACTCTGGGGAATTCATGGTTCCCTCAAGCCATAAACCTTTTTTTTTTTTTTTTTTTGGCTAAGGAAAAGGGGCCTATATAAAATATTTATGTAGGAAAAAAAGACTCTAAATGAGGATTAAAAGTAGTTTAAAATATGAAAGTTATAATGGAGAAAACAATGCTTAAAATTTAGACCAATGTTAATGAGTTTCTTAGGAAAACTAAGGAGGCTATAGTATGATAAAGGTTTTTTGTTTCATTTTGGTTTTTTGTGTGAATGATTTTTCATACTCTATACTTTTTGATAAATGTTACATATTTGCATTTACTTTGGTTTCAGCTTTTAAAAAAGTCAGGAGTTAACCTTTTATCTTTTTCACTGCTGTGTTCTTCATATCCCATGTTTTATTCCCTTAAATCATGAAAATTATAATAATCTGTGGTCATTTTTTTTTTCCATAAATATTACTAAGCGAGGTGTTAGGGTGAAATTATGTTGTAGAGGACAGCACAACAGTATGTATGATGGGTAGGATTTGGTTTTGAGTCTTTCTGTATTTGCTACTTACTAGCAAATACATACTTCTCATCCATTTCATATAGGATTTGAGACAAAGGTTTCAGGTAATAATAGGCCTATATTAATATAATACCTATTGACTAGTATTTCTTACCTATAAGTTATGTCATTCATATTCAAAAGGTGATTATTAATAGTACTAAAAATACAGAAACTGTGTCAACTTTTAAGAAGTAGTAACATTAAATAGGAAAAAGTGTAATGAATTGGAATTGTTGGAGACCCAGACTCCCTTATTTGCTCTTTGTATTTTAGGACCATTTATTTTTCATGGTCTTCATACTTTCCCTTTTGACTTGCTACTTTTACTCATAATAATTTTTGATTTTCCTTATTTAGTCGTACTCCTGGAAGTCGTCAAGCCTCTCCAACTGAAATAGTTGAGCGCCTTGGCCCCAATACTAATCCCCCAGAAGGATTGGGTCCTCTTCCTAATCCTACAGCTAATAAACCACTTGTTGAAGAATTTTCAAATCCTGAAACTCAGAATCTGGATGCCATGGAACAAGTTGGTCTGGATTCTTTACAGTTTGACTATCCTGGTAATCAGGTACCCATGGATTCTTCAGGAGCTACTGTAGGCCTTTTTGACTACAATTCCCAGCAGCAGGTAAAGCATGGTCCTTTAAAAAGCTCCTTTTAACTGTCTGAAATGCTGTGAGGCACTGACATGGATGATAGAAATTCCTAAACAATTAATGTTTTATTGATAATTATCCTCGCACTTTAGAAAATCTTCAAATAAATTTTAAAACACTTTATTCACAGTAATCTGATTAGAAGTGAAATGTTTTGACACTTTTGTTTTAAATATTTTCCCTGATAGCTCTTTCAGAGGACTAATGCACTAACAGTTCAACAGTTAACTGCAGCTCAGCAGCAGCAATATGCATTAGCAGCAGCTCAGCAGCCACATATAGGTGAGTCTTTATAATTATCTTTTGACTAGGTTGTTAGGAAAATCTTGTTAAAGTGGTTAAATGTTTCATTTTTCATTTATTGGGTTTGTTGATAGTTTGTTACTTTTTGAAGCATCTCATTGAGATGAATTGTAATAGATTATACAACAAGGGTATGGATATTAACTATAGAAAATTATTTCTGATTATTATTTGTGTTGTTGGTTAAATAAAAATATATTACTTGATAAAAGTCACTAGCACATAAGTAATGTTTTTCCCAGTGTGGTGTTGAGAGTCAAATGCCTGGGAATTCAAATGTAGTTACCTCTTATCCAGTCGGAATATTCATTCTTAAAAGTTCATTTTAAAAATTGTTTGGAAATAGTAATTCCAAGGAAATTTCTTAAAAATAGTTTAAGCCATTTGATTTTTGAACTCTAGTCTTTAAAGTGAATTATTATAAGTATTTGGTACAAGCTGGGGTTTGTCTGTTTTTCTTTTTTTGTTCTCCCACCAAGTGCAAACCTTTACAGTTTATTTATGCAGATAAATCTTGATCTAGTAGCTGTTTTATTAGTTTTTTTCCCTCCCAACCTCTGATTCTGACCTTTCCTAGTAGAATGTGAGTGAAATAAGGTGAAGGCAATTTGTTTTTACTTTGTATTTTGAAATAATTATAGATTCATATGAAATTGCAAAGAGAACAGAGTGGTTCCCATATCCCTTTCTCCAGTTGCCTCAATGACTGCTTCTTATATAATTATAGTTCAGCATCAAAACCACTAATATGACATAGGTTTTATATATATGTATGTGTGTATATATATATATATATATATATATACACACACACACACACACAAATACGTATATGTGTATAGTTCTATGTCATTTTATCTGTGCAGATCTGTCTAACTATTTATATCTGATTTTTGGCTAAAGGTTTGTTTCCTGGTTGAAAAGTTGTGCATACTTTTTAACATCAGAATCTGTGGAGGGGGGGATATACAAGACCAAGTTAGTTCTCTTCTCTTAACTTTGCATTGCTCTGTGTCAATTCAGGTCTCATTTTACTTTTGACTAGTCCATACTTATAGTTGTCTCTAATAGCAGCATCCACTCTGACCCTGTTTCTTTTCTCTTTCCTCAGCCCCTTTTATGTGTGTACTAAATCCTTCGTTCTCTTGTTAAAAATGTACTGATTCTTTGTACTATTCATGGAATGCAGCAGTTTTTATTACTTGATACTTTATAATGTGTTCTAATATTTGACAGGCTCTTGTGTTTTGGATTTTTAAAGTTTTCTTGCTTCTTTGCTGTCTTTTGTATGAAATTTAGAATCCTGTGTACGTACAGGAGATCAGGTTAAATAATTTCATTAATTTAGGGAAAATTAGCATCTTTGTGTCATTAAGTAGTCTTACTCAGGACAGAGTGTATCTTTACTTTTGTGCAAGTATGTTTCATTATCATTTATGAGTGCTTTAAAGTTTCTTGTGTAAGTTTGCATATTTCTTGATAATTTTATTCTTAGGTATATTATTTTTTCTATCTAAACTAGTATCTACAAATAATCTCTTGAATATCATATATTAGAATTTATGAATGACATTTTCTGATCGTTGAATCATCCTTCAATTGTTAGAATAAGAAGTAACTTGCGTATAATTATTTTAGCACATTCTTTCAATTGCTAATGTTTTATTTAGGACTTTGCATTAGTATGTATTTTTAGATGTCGGAGTATATTAACTAACATTGAACTTACTTGATCCTTAAAGATGTGGCAAGACAAAGAATGAACTTTGTGGTACATTGTCATCACAGCTATGTGGGAGGCATAAATAGAAGGGTCAGAGTTCAGGCTAGTCTAGGCAAAAGGGCGAGACCTTGTTTGAAAAATAACTAAAGGCAAAAAAGGATGGGGGTGTGGCTCAAGTGGTAGAACCCCTGCCTAGCAAGGCCAGGGCTCTATCCAAAAAAAAAAGGCTGTGACAGACAACTCTGAAACCATCTAGATAACTAGATGCAAATAAAATAGAAAACCTGAATAAACTGGAAATGTGTCTAAGAAAGCATAATTTGTCAAAACTGAGCTCATAATTATAATCTTAGTTCTATTGATTATAAAATACAATCAATATAAAACTTTCCATTGAGCTTTTGCATTCTTCATATAAAGTGTAAAAGCAGGTCTGCATTTTCATGATTTCAAATTAGGTTAGTTACACTTAAAATGCTCAGTGGTTGTGTGTCTCTTTCAACTGCCTTATTGGTCAGTGTAACTCTTTAGATTCTTCTAGAATGGGAATTGACAAACTTTTTTTTATAAAGAACCAAGTTATATTAAGCTTTGCAATCCATTTTGTTTGTCACAACTAACTACTATATTGCTGTAGCATGAAAGTGGTCATAGGTAATATGTGACTGAGTTACCTTGTTCTGATAAAACTTGACTTACGGTCATATAAATTCAAATTTCATACACTTTCCATCTTTGAACCATTTTAAAATGTTAGAATTGTTCTTAGTTGTATAAAATTAGAAAACTGGCCCATAGAATTGGTCAGAAAGAATAAATACAATATATTTTTTAAATGGACGTCTACACTCAGAGGGAGCAAGAGACAGGAGAGACACAGAGCATCCGCTCATGAACTCAAAGAAAAAGGCAGAATTGTCTAGGTGGTTGAGAATAAAGTCTACAAAAGGGCTAGAAGAAGAATAAACAAAATACCAGAATTGGAGTTTGCCATCTTGATAACCATGTAAGGTAAGAGCCCTCGAGCCACTAATTGAAGACTTGGTTTGGAGGTTTGATTGTATAGAATATCATTGAGGGATCATGATAACATTTGATGGACAGGTGGGACAAGAGAAATTCACAAAAGATAGTGTTTTAAACAAAAATGACAGTGCAAATAAGAGTCAGGGCTGGGTGTGTGGCTCAAGTGGTAGAGCTGAGTAAAAAGTAATAACAATAGAGTTTATACTTAAGATGTATATAAAGAATGTTAAAAATTTATTCAGATCATTAATAGGTTATTAATAGGTTATCATAAGTCATTTAGAAGTCTTGAATCTGCAAAATAATGTGAAAATGAACCATTTCTGGATCCTATAAATAAAAATTATTTTAAAAAATTCTGAGTGGATTACATAACTGACTTGCTATCACTTAGGACTAAATAAACAAGGAAATAAAACCTAGGAAATATCTCAGAATACTGAAATAATCCATAGTAAACAGGGCATGAGAAATTAAAAGCTATAGAGTAGAGTATGGAGTAAGGATATACTGGATTTGTATAGAAAACTACAATTTTTCCTGATCTCTTAAGTAAATGCAGCTACATGCTATTTTGGGAACATTGTGGTGATACCAGTTCTCCCTAAGTCAGTGTATGGATTTAATGTACTCCTGCTCAGAATCCCAACAGGGATTGTTTGGCTGGTTTGTTTGAAACTTAAATTTTTGGTTTTGATGTTTGCCTCAGAAAAGTAAAATTAGAATATTAGTGGAAAACTAAATGGAGGAGGACTTGCTCAACCATATTTTAAAACAATTATTTACAGTGATTAAAACAACGAAGCACTGGTCTTATTACAAGACCAGTGGACAAGAATACTCTTAACTAGGTGTTTGTCTCTGTATGTGTGTTTAGAGTAGAGTGCTGGCATACATTTTTAATTAATTGACTTTTCGAATCAATTACTTAAGAGAGGTTATTTGGAAAATAGCATAGAGATAATTGGTTCTTCTTCCTCTCAGATTGAAATTTTAAATGAGGAAAAACAAAGGTATAAACAATACATTTTGCTTCGAAGATAAAGTGGTTGCTTTTGTTGTTTTAATGTTTTACCTTATCAAATTGACAACTATTTTAAAAGTTTGATAAGGTCTTACTTTGGCAAGAGTGCGTGCATACTGATATACTCTTGATAGGAATATAAATTGGTACAACTTGGCTAGAGGGTAATCTGGAAATAGGGAGTAAGAATTTATGCTTTTGCCTACCTAGATAAGTAAATTTTCAGAAATACAGCATAGTACACAGACCTGTGTAGTTAAAAATCCTAATAGCATTATTTATGGCAAGAGATTTTAAAACATCTAAATGTGTTTCAGTAGTAGACTGGTTAACGTTTCTTTTCTATGATAGAGTATAGTATATGTTAATTTAAAAGAATGAGCTACATGGATTGGTAGAATCAACATAGTAAAAATGTCTGTACTCCCAAAAGTAATCTACATGTTTAATACAATTCCCATCAAAATTCCAATGACACTGAAAAATCTACCGTTAAATTTATATGGAAACACAAGAGGCCACGAATAGCCAAGGCAATACTCTGTCAAAAGAACAACGCTGGAGGTATCACGATACCTGACTTCAAACTATATTACAAAGCAATAACAATAAAAACAACATGGTACTGGCACAAAAACAGACATGAAGACCAGTAGAACAGAATAGAGGACCCAGATATAAAGCCACACAACTATAACCAACTTGTCTTTGACAAAGGTGCTAAAAATATCCTGTGGAGAAAAAGCAGCCTCTTCAGCAAAAACTGCTGGGAAAACTAGTTAGCAGTCTGCAAAAACCTGAAACTAGATCCATGTATATAACCCTATACCAATATTAACTCAAAATGGATCAAGGATCTTAATATCAGACCACAAACTCTAAAGTTGATACATGAAAGAGTAGGAAATACTCTGGAGTTAGTAGGTATAGGTAAGAACTTTCTCAACGGAACCCCAGCAGCACAGCAACTAAGAGATAGCATAGATAAATGGGACTACATAAAACTAAAAAGCTTCTGTTCATCAAAAGAAATGGTCTCTAAACTGAAGAGAACACCCACAGTGTGGGAGAAGATATTTGCCAGCTGCACATCAGACAAAGGACTGATAACCAGAATATATAGGGAACTTAAAAAACTAAATTCTCCCAAAACTAATGAACCAATAAAGAAACGGGCAAGTGAACTAAACAGAACTTTCTCAAAAGAAGAAATTCAAATGGCCAAAAAACACATGAAAAAATGCTCACCATCCCTAGCAATAAAGGAAATGCAAATTAAAACCACACTAAGATTCCACCTCACCCCTGTTAGAATAGCCATCATTAGTGATACCACCACCAACAGGTGTTGGCGAGGGTATAGGGAAAAAGGAACCCTCTTACACTATTGGTGGGAATGTAAACTAGTACAGCCACTCTAGAAAAAAATGTGGAGGCTACTTAAAAAGCTAGACATTAATCTACCATTTGATCCAGCAATACCACTCTTGGGGATATACCCAAAAGACTGTGACACAGGTTACTCCAGAGGCACCTGCACACCCATGTTTATTGCAGCACTATTCACAATAGCCAAGTTATGGAAACAGCCAAGATGCCCCACCACTGACGAATGGATCAAGAAAATGTGGTATCTATACACAATGGAATTTTATACAGCCATGAAGAAGAACGAAATGTTATCATTTGCTGGTAAATGGATGGAATTGGAGAACATCATTCTGAGTGAGGTTAGCCTGACCCAAAAGACCAAAACTCTTATGTTCCCCTCATATGCGGACATTAGATCAAGGACAAACACAACAAGGGGATTGGACTTTGAGCACATGATAAAAGCGAGAGCACACAAGGGAGATACGAGGATAGGTAAGACACCTAAAAAATTAGCTAGCATTTGTTGCCCTCAATGCAGAGAAACTAAAGCAGATACCTTAAAAGCAACTGAGGCCAATAGGAGAAGGGGACCAGGAATAGAGAAAAGGTTAGATCAAAAACAGTTAACCTAGAAGGTAACACAGATGCACAGGAAATTAATGGAAGTCAACTCCCTGTATAGCTATTCTTATCTCAACTAGCAAAAACCCTTGTTCCTTCCTATTTTGCTTCTACTCTCTCTTCAACAAAATTAGTGATAAAGGCAAAATAGTTTCTGCCGGGTATCGAGGAGGTGAGGGGGAGAGGGAGAGGGATAGGGGGTGGGGGCAGGGGGGAAAAATGACCCAAGCATTGTATGCACATATGAATAATAAAAAAATAAAAATTTAAAAAAAGAATGAGCTAAGATTGTGTCTGTTGACATAGATCTATGATTAGTTGTTAGGGTGGAAAAAGCATATTAAAATACCATTATAGACTAGAATATAAAATACATGAGTGTATATGCATTTAAGAATTGAGAAGGATATAATAAAGGACTTTTATTTTCTAGTTTATATACGTCAATAATATTTTAACTGTTTAAAACACTTTTTTCATGATAAAACCATAAAATATTTTTTAAAAAGCATATGTCCTAGATTTTTAGTAGTATAAGTAGAATATGTGTTCTAATACATAATTTTCTGTTCTTGTAATAAAGAAATTCATGATAGATGAGCCAGAGAGAATCTTGAAACCTTTGACCTAGGGAGTAGTTCAAAATGACTTTTAAATGTAAGGATTTCACTAAACTTACAGTTTAATTCTTGATTCCTTTGTAAAAAGTAGATTTTTTAAATGACTGTATGGTGTCTGGATGTGAAATCAATGTGCAGGTTATGGCCTATATATTTTTTAGTTAAATGGGCTATAGGAAGTAATAAGTAGAAATATTGCATGCAATACAATATTACCCAGAGCATTTCTGCTGGACTTGTTTGTGGCATATACTCTTATGTGTGTGTAGACTATAGGTAGTGTGAAATGTATTTCATATATTGTGGCTCAAAGTGAAAAATTTTGAAAGCTAACATAATATTGTTTCAAAGTAGAAGTTTCAGAATCTTCATTTTAAAGCCTAGATTTTAAGATTTATTTTCCTTTTGGGTACCTTTTAAAGATTACTTTATGTTTAGCTACTTTTACACTCATATTCCTCCATGTCCACCATCTTTTAGATTTGGTCCCTTGGATCTTTAACTTTAAATACATCATTATTCATTATTTCCTTACTTTGGCACTGGTTTTACTTACTTTCCAGACGAGATAACCGTGTAAACACTTTTTCAGTAACAAGTGCAAGGTCTATACGGTGATGCTTCAATAATCAAGAATCAAGAGTTTTTTTCCTTTTACTAAGAGTACTTACTGCAAATGTACACTTTAAAATCTTCTTAGCTTTTACTAAATCCATACGGGAATATATTAGATGCAGAAGTGGGTTTAAATTCACTCTTCTTTAAACTTCTATGTTTCACTGTTGCCTTGAGGGCAAAATCCAAACTACTTAGTGTGAACCAAGAAGCTCTTCATGAGTCTTCATTCTGATTATAGCTCCAGTTTTATTTTATTTACTCTATACATTGTTCCATCTTATCATTCCTTTCAAAAGTTTACTAGATATCCCTCCTCTCTCTGAATTAGCACTTATATTCTAATTGCTAATTGACTTTTTTTCTCATTGAATGGAGTGCTTTCTGAGAGCAGATCCTCCTTCCTCACTATTAAATTCCTCATAGTATGAGTTAATATATATTAAGCTCATAGTATGGCTTAACAAAGATTGAAAAAGAAATTACTATTGAATTACTGTGTGCTGATGATATACAGCCATTTCATATTTAATATTGGATTTAATTCTCAAAAATTCCTACAGGACAGCTGCTGATAACCCCTGTTTCCTAAATGAAAAGCTTTATAGAGTCAGTCAGCATTACTCAGAATTACTTAGTAAAAACTTGAACTGTTAATCATACTCTGCCCCCCACCAGATTCAGAATAGAGATATTTTTATCTAATGAAGAAAATAATACTTCACATTTTTATTCATTATTTTTCCCCCTTTTAAATATAGCTGGTGTATTCTCAGCAGGCCTTGCTCCAGCTGCATTTGTGCCAAATCCATATATTATTAGTGCTGCTCCTCCAGGGACCGATCCGTATACTGCAGCAGGATTGGCTGCAGCAGCAACATTAGCAGGTAATTTATTATTCATCCTCATTCTGTGCTATGGATTAGTTTAATTTTTTGTTTAAGCTTTTTTTAATTTTATCTATTTGAGCAGTTTGGAATTCCTAGGGAAAACTAAAACATTGTCAAGAGATGTACTGAAGTTTTTAGGGAGTTAATTCCTATTTTTCTAGTGTAATGCAACAGGGAAACATCAAAGCAGTAACTCTTCCTAAGGGGATTTGAACTCAGGACCTCACACTTTGCTAGGCAAGAGCTCTACCACTGGAGCCATGCCCACAGTTCCAGAGCAGTGTCTTTTTCCTCCCTCTATGTTCCTTGTTTACATTTCCATTTTGTAGATTTAGAGGTGTTATGCTGTTGACCACGCCATCTCCATTTTAATAACCAATCCCAATACAGAGACAATGCAAAGTAAAATTACTTTTCAGAAAATAAACTAGAGATAGGTAGTTTGAATACTGAGATTGAGTAGAGTATAAAGAGCTTCAGAAATTTGGGGAGAATGCATGTCTAGAAAGTTTCTTGAGCATTGTTCAAATGTACAAATAAATAGGTAGGGTAGAGTTGGAAAGAACTTACTGAAAATTGTCAAAAACAAAGCTCTCTTATTACTTATTTAAGTAATGGAGAGTTGTGTGCTAGTCAGGTACAGTCTTACTGAGCAAAGCAATTTATAACATTGTGAAAGTTTGTCTTGACTTGAGTCAACTAGAGACAGAAATGAGTGTTAGGTAAGGTTTATGTTGGTTAAAGATGCAAGAATGGGCTGCTATCAGCCTTGGAAGTTTGATTCACTGAAGTGAGTCTGCTGGTGGGCTGACTTTGAAAACTCAAAGCTGTCACTGTTTCTTTTTTAGCTTTCTGAGATATCACTGAAGTGATGTCACTAACCTAGAAAGTATTAAGTTCACTTCTGGTACTTATTTATTATGACTATTGAATGATTCATCTTTTCCTAGGAGTTTGGAAACTTTCAAACTCAAGATCTTATTTTTAAAAAGCGAGAGAAAAAAGTTAATTTCAAATTCTTGTTTGATATCATAGCTGGTAGACGAAAATTAACTTGTCAGTCATTAGCTTTTGGTGTAGAAATCTACTCTGTGATTCTGTGCTTTTCACTGATATTAGTATGTAAAATGCTGGTATATTATGCATTTGAAGAACCATTTACCTATGGGACTAAAAGAAGCAGCCTTTAAGTGGTCATTTGGTTTGGGTATAAGCCATTCTACACATTGTGGAGCTAGGTTTTCTAGCACCGTTGCTGTGCAGTAGAAATGCAGTATGAGCCAAGAAATGTAATTGAAATTTTTCTGGTAGCCATAATAAAATTAAAGAACAGATTCATTTCATTAATGTGTTTGCTTTAGTCCAACATATGCAAAATATTATCATTTCATGATGTGGCCAGTATTTTTTAAATTAATAAATCTTAGACATCTCTTCTCCCCCCACCTCCAATTTTCTTTTTCTTTGTTTCTTTTTTCATGCTAAGACTTGAAAATCCTGTGTGGATTATACTCTTTCAGCACATCTTAATTTGGGCAATGCACAAGTGGCTTCTAGGCACATTGGGTAGTGAGGTCCTTGGTGGATATGTGACTTACTTTGCTTTAACAATGTATACTTTCTTCATAAATTCTTTCCAGTGTTTTAGTAGTCCTCTCTATAACTTGTGCTTACTTCACTGACTGTCTTTAGAAGTCCATTTTGCCTTTACGTTTACAAAGCTTTTTTAATTTTAGTGATTTGATCAGTTATGCTAAGCTTTTTCTTCCAAAACAGGTGAAACTAAGAGTTTGGTATTTTAGGATATAGAAATTAAATGCCATAAAATTTAACTGGTAAGATATTAGAGTGTTGTATCAGTCAAAAATCGTGACATTGTGTTCATTGCTTTAGTTACTTACTATGTGTAATCCCATTTACTCTACAGGAATTAAATACTACCTTGACAAAGTTGAGTAGGAACAATTAATTTTGTTTTTCTTAGTTTGCTTTCTTACCTCTATTTTCCTCTGTGCTTATATCATGTAGTTTTCGACTCAAGTCTGATTTTCCTAACTGCATAAACCCTGATGTCTCATTTGTTTTCATGTAACTTACTTTTTGTAAGAATTGTGACTGTGTTTCAAATATGAAGAATTGTACAGTTTTATTGTGTCTGATGTTCCCTGAATATGTTACTTTGTTTGTACTAGACCCATAAACTAGTACTGAGTACATGTTCAATAGACTGTTTAGTGTACTGTGAGTTAATTGGTAGTCTTGAGTTTTGCCTCACAAGTCCACTGCAGTCACTCCTGAACACATTTATCTTTTAATCACACCAAGTCAGGAGTGGTTAATGCACAGCTGTAATCCCAGCATTTGGGAGGTAGAGGCAGGAGGATTGAGGCTGCCTGGTCTACATGGTGAGACCTGGCTGAAAAATCCAAACAACAACAACAAAATGCATACTGAAATGATACTTGGTTCCTAATAGAATCAGAAAAAGTAGAAAGGGTGTAGCAAGTGTAAAGGGGTAGAATATGTGTTCTCCTCTGAGTACTAATGCCTGTCCTCTTTTGTAATGAATGGTAACTGACCTCTCATGTATAAAATCTAGTGACTTTTTGATGGGGTTTGTGGGGTTTTAGGTCCAGCAGTGGTTCCACCTCAGTATTACGGTGTTCCGTGGGGGGTGTATCCAGCCAATTTATTTCAGCAACAAGCTGCAGCTGCTGCAAACAACACCGCCAGTCAGCAGGCAGCATCTCAAACTCAGCCTGGACAGCAACAGGTAGGTCTTCCTTTATTAAGTAATACCTAAGAAATCTTTTAAGTTCCATGAGCTCCTGGCATTAAAGATGTGTCTTTTTGTTTCTTCAGTATGTAACATGGTACCTGATATATGGTTGATACACAGTTATTTATCACGTTTTCCCTCTGATTAGTATTATATAAACTTAAAGATTTGAATGTATTCCATTCATATTTCTGTTAACCTTGCTTTCTTAAATCACAAGCAGTTTTTAAATTGCTTTTTATCACTTCTTTTGAAAATATGCTGATAAGATGGGTATGGTAGTGCATGCCTGTAATCCCAGCACTTGGAAGGATGAGGCAGGAGGTTGATGAGCTTGAGACTAGCCTGGCCTGCATAGTGAGACCCTGTCTTAGAAAAATAAAAATAGTAATAATGTTCTTATCCAAGTGGTTACCCCTTTCATTGTTCTCCAGGTATTTAAATTGCAAGTTTAATACTAAATATTAAATATTGTAAAAAGAAGTTAAGTACTTTAATCAAAAATGAATTTCCACTAAAAGTAGCCTTTAATTTCTTAAAATAGAAACAAAATATCATGAGTTTTGGGGTTTTTTTAAACCACAGTTCCTTCCAGAGAACTGTTGGTTTTTTTTTTTTTTTGCCATATTGTCAAAGAACTATCTTGATAAATTTGAACACTCTGTTGCTAAATATCAGAGTTCTGTCACATTCATCATGCTTATACCAAAGAAGAACTTAAAGATAAATACGGTATTGCTTACTTGTCAGCTGGTTTTTATTCTGAGTTTCCTTTAATGCATTTTAATGCTATATTGACACTGTGGAAACTATCCCTTGGTCCAGTCCTTGCACATCATATCACAGCATCATGTAAAAAAATACTTTTTTAAGCTGTATCTTTAGCCAAACATATTGCTAACTTATATGGGTAAACTTACAGTGAATCTGCCCTGTCCTGAATTATTGTAATATTTGTGAAATTCATGATTATGGTCATCATGGTTGTACAGCATCACTGCAGCAACTATGTGGAACAAGGTAGTAAAACTTCACCAACCTTAGCAGCATCACACCTTGTTTTCATGTTTTCTTGTGCTTTTTAACACTAGGGTTTTATGTTGAAAAGCAGCTTTTAGTCACTTTTGTTAAAGTTTCTAAATTCTGAAAACTTGGTTTTATTTGAAGTTTTTACTACATGAAAGAATGAAAAGTTCTTCCCTTAAGCTTCCCATGTTTCAGTTTTCAGCATTAGAAAGTAATTTTAATAAAATCTAAATTTAAATCTCTTGAGATTTTGCTATTCCTTCCACCTTACATCCATCTCCTCTTCTTTTCTTCCTTCTCCCTTGGTGAGACAATAAAGATTACAAATAACTGGGGTTGGTTTTTTTTTTTCCTGCAATCCCAGAGTTTGAGCTCAGGACCTACATCTTCAGCCATTCCGCCAACACATTTTGGTGATGGTGGTTTTTTTTTTTTTTTTTTTCAAGATGGGAGTCTCGTGAACTATTTGCCTGGGCTGGCTTTGATCTCTGCCTCCTAAGTAGCTAGGGTTATAGGCATGAGCCACTGGCACCTGGCCACAAGTATCTTTTAACTAAAGTCCTTTTAGAAACCTCCATGTTCTTTATAGATAGTGGTCAGGACCCAGTGATGTTTTTGATGTTAAAGTATTTGTAATTTTTTCATGGTAAATTTCATTGCATGTACATATCTTCACAAAATATTTGTAACATACATATGCTTGTCTGAGATACATTTGTGATTTTATAATTGTTTTTAAGTGAGTCATCTGTCCTTTGTAGGTTCTTCGTGCTGGAGCTGGTCAGCGTCCTCTTACTCCCAATCAGGGTCAGCAAGGGCAGCAAGCAGAATCACTTGCGGCAGCTGCAGCTGCAAATCCAACTTTGGCTTTTGGCCAGGGTCTTGCTACAGGCATGCCAGGTACATAATTGGTTAACAGTTTTGTGGGGGTTCATTGTTGTTTAAGGATGGGGGGATTATAGAAATTTAAATAGACTTAAAATGTTAACTCGTAAATGTCAAACTCGAGTGACTAAATTTAAAAGTATCTTTAAAGCCTTGCTTACCTTATAATAATATAGAACTAAGATGCAAATAGTTGAAATCAGTAGTTTGTGAGATTCATTGACAAGAATTCTAAACATATACCAGAATTCTCAACACAGCCACCTTTTTTTTATTGTTTATGACAGGAACTGCAGCTTCAGTCCAGCTAAACCTATCCCAGAATTTTCAGTATAGTGCTTCAAGGAATAAAACTAGTTGATTAAGAGTTGGTATGCAAGAAAAAACACACTTGCTATTACTGCAGGAATAGTCATTTGGTTAGTTAATATTAAGAAGTTTGCAACTAATATTTTCTACTTTCAACATTGTTCAGTCTTGTTTAGCCCATTTCTAGCATTTTTAATTATTTGTATTTAGTATAAAATTTCTGTCCACTGGGCTGGATGTGTGACAACTCAAGTGGTAGAGTCTTAGTAAGCACAAGACCCTGAGTTCAAAGCCCAGTACCACCCCCCCAAAAAAAAAACTTAAAAATCCAGATACCAGTGGCTCATACCTGTGTAATCCTAGTTGATTGGGAGAATCACAGTTTGAGAATCATAGTTCATGAGACTCCATCTCCAAAATAACCAGAGCAAAATGGACTGGAGGTATGGCTGGAGCATTAGAGTGCCTGCTTTGCCAGGTGTAAAGCCCTGAGTTCAAACCACAGTTCCATCAAAAAAAGAAAAACTCTTCTGTCCACTGACATTGTACAACTTTCTTAAAGTACTTTTTTGTGAAGTACTATCTGTGAAACTGTATGTAAAATAGTAATTTTAATAATTGTTTTTTTGGGGAGCACTGGGGTTTGAGCTCAGGACCTCACACTTGCTAGGCAGGTTCTCTTATCACTTGAGCCACTCTCCTACCATTGTGTGTTTTTCTTAAGCCAGAAAAGCAATCCTTGGGCCAGGTGTGGTGACTAATGCTGTAATTCCAGCTAATTGGGAGGCAGAGGTAAGAGGATCATGGTCCCAGGTCAGCCTGGGCAAAAGCATAAAACCCCATCTGAAAAAAACAAACAACTGAAGCAAAAAGGGCTAGGGTTCTGACTTGAGTGATAGAGCATAAAGCCCTGAGTTAAAAACCCACTACTGTCAAAAAGAAAAACAGTACTTGTTTTGTTTTCTTTGTTTGCTGTTGTTAATTTTTTTGTGCTGAGGATTGAACCCATTGTTTGGATTTGATTTTTGGTTTTGGACTTCTGAGTTTCATTGTGGTGTTTGTGTTTTTTGTTGTTTTGGTTGATTTTATTTTTTTGTGGTCTCATGCCCTCCACCACTGAGCTACACTCTCAGCTCATTTTTTGTTTTTAAAGTGAAATTTATATCTATATACAATTTAATAGTTATTACATGCATTTTATCTACATTCTTTTTCAACAGCTATATGTTTGCTTTCAGGTACAGTCCTAAAAATTTGCTGATTAATAGTTGGTAAAACAAAAACCCATAGAAAACTAATCAAACCTGCAAAATAAAAAGAAAAGGTTTTTGGAAGACTAGATGAACTTCATTGTCTTACTCATGCATTACACCAAATCTTTATAGTTACAACATAAAATTATGCACATCTGAAAACATAGGGAAAATTAATCCAAATACAGCAAGTTTCTATATCCTGATTCAACTATTTTTGCATCCTATTTGTTATGTATTGGTAAGCCAAGCTACATATATGGGGGGAGGGGCTAGGAAATGCCTTGGTTTGTAACTTACAGTGAAACTTAAAGGCTGCATTTGAATATCAGTAGATATCACTTGTAACTGTTTCATTTCTGCAGACTCACTTTTTCTTTTAAGTATGCTAGTTTTCAATTTTGAAAATTTTAAGGGATTACTTCTATAATTATATGGGTTATTAATGAATTGTGAGCTCCAGTTTCCATTCTATTCTGATCATTTAAGAAATGTGTGCAATGTGCTGGAAAAGATTTTTTACATGGTTTAGGGTTTCTTTTATGTATTAATTGCTCATAAGCATTTTTGTGTGTTATTTTAATGCTTCCTATATCAATTGTATTCATTCTGTTCTCTCTGTAATTCTAAGGTCTGAGTTTATCATCTTGTCTAGTCCTCTGGATAAGAGAGAGCTTCATACTGCTGTCCCTGAAGTGCAAATGATAGTAGAGTAAGGGGGCATTCTCATTATTTTCCTTTTTTTTTTTACCCCAGCTATATTTGCTTCCTGGGAAGCTACTATCTTGGAGCTGTTGTGAATTAGAGATCTTGGCAGAAACAGCCTTTTGAGAAATGGACTATAAAGCTGAAGTTATTGTAGATACAGGGAGGCAGGGCATAAAAAAAGTGATCTGAGAGTTTTTGAGAACTAACTAAGACTGCAGTAGGATAGTCTTAGATATTAGCTAACGGTAGAAAGGGGAAAGGAGTCCAATTTTAGCTGTGATCTCTGAAGTTTATACTCTTTAACTCATTGCTTGTTTCTATTTGCACTAGAAAGTAATCTCCTCAGGATTAAAGATACTTCTTTTTATTTTTCCTTGCTGTATCCCGATACTTAGAATCCTGTATGGCATGTGGTAGTTAGTTGCTTGATAAATACTTGTCAAATGGATGAGTGCATGAGCAATGAGTTAAGCTAAGTTGGGAAGAGGAGGAAGAAAAACATTGCATAGCAAGGAAATAATAGTAAGAGGAAGCATGGCACTTTTGAGGTGTTGGAAACCTATTTCTCCATAGAACAGAAGGTGAAACTAGGAAGATAGCCAGGGACCAGCCAGATCACATTGTGGGCCATACTCAAAATTTTGTGTTTTCTTTTAAATCCTTTGGAAAGTTTAAAGGGCTGTGGTATTAGATTGGTTATTTAAAAGATAACTCTGGGGCTGAGGGAGTGACTCAGTTGCATGCGTAGCAAGCACAAGGCCCTGAGTTCAAACCCTAGTACCACATACATTCATACATACATAACATAAATATGTAAATTTCTGAAAAGATGACTATAAGAGAGTAGGTAGAAGCAGTAGGGTAAAAGAGCACAGGCCAACCACATAGACCTAGTTGGACAGAGTAGTGGCAACTTAGAAAATGAATGAATTTGAGAAAGATTTAAGTCAAATGAATAGGAATTAGAGGAGAAATTGACTGTATAAAAATTCCTCTCTGGGAATGTATGTATACTAGTTAAGTAGGAAAGTGTTGTTTAATTTTTTAGTAGAGTGCAGCCCAATGTCTGCATGGGGTAACTTTTTATTTTTTAATTCAGATTGAGATGTTAAATAGGCAGTAATGTTTTTGAACAAGATTATGTTCTGTATGCTTTAAATTTAGGACTACACCACAAGGACCAGTGAAAACTTATCAACTGGTATATACAGTTTGAGATTTACCAGTAATATGGATGTTTTATTAGCAATGTGCTAAAGCTTACTTGGTTGGATTTGCTGTATTTACTTAAAATGCATGTCAAAATGTCAGTCTTAGTGGTGAAGTTTTTATCTCAGCACAGTTTATTATACTTGAATTGAATTTCTACTGTGTTTGATGGCAGTAGAAATTAATGCTTTTTGACTGTAATTTTACTGTGACGTCTACATAGTGTTGACAAAGTAAAGTTCAAAAATTGATGATGGTGGATTACTCAGTATATTCTAAGTTTTAAAACTTTTTAAAGTATTAGGAATTGCCAGTACATTTTTAAAGATTGTTGTCAAAGTGTTGAGACTGAATTCTTGTTACTGTATAAAGCAGCCTTTCTCAACCTGAGTTCCAGGAGAGAATTAAACCTTACTTCACTAAAGTATCCACCATTATTTATGGTTAACTTCTCTCCTGTACCTCTGTAGCAGTACTTGTTATGTACCATCCTTTGGAGAATTGACAAAATAGTCACTTGACTCATTTTGTGTGTTTGGTTCAGAGGAGGAATCCCCATTGAGAAAGGCTGCTAAGAGGTAAACTTCACTCTCCTGCAGTTCTAAATAACACAAATTGTTACCTGTCTTGTGTTCAAGCCTACAGTAAAACCGGTGCCTGCATGATTTTAATTAAACTCTAGTTTTTTACAAGTAGATTCTTAGGATTTTATCTGTTCAAATCATACTTTAAGCTTCTAAAGAGATGCTTACAAATGAAAATCTAAAGAAATGTTGGTAAAAGAAATGTTGGTAATGTATTTTGTTTAAAACTTTATTGAACTTGCATAATAAACATTTTATAGTGTTTTAACTCACTTCCCCTAGTCTTTGTATTCAACCTCTTAGAACTGACTAAATGTGATATTTTTCTAGTATCAACCCTCGATATCTTGTAATTTCTATATTAAGGAAAAAAATTTTTTATCTGTAAGTGAAAGACATTTTTGTTAAAGATATCTCTTAAAATTTAGGGAGAAAACATTCAACTTGATGCTGTTACTTTTTTTAAGTATTTCATAATGCTTTCTCAAATGTATTGCTTTTCATATGGTAGGTATTTAAGGGTTTTATAGTAACAGTATGAAATAGATGTTTTTGGCTGACAAAAACACAAATGCTAGGGGAAGTAAATGTGCATGTCTCCTATAGTAAGTGTTCTCATTGGTAAACATTTATTTTAATGTTATCTAGGCTATCAAGTTCTAGCTCCAACTGCCTATTATGATCAGACTGGTGCCTTAGTGGTTGGCCCTGGAGCAAGAACTGGCCTTGGAGCTCCAGTTCGATTAATGGCTCCCACACCTGTTTTAATTAGTTCAGCAGCAGCACAAGCTGGTAAGTACAACTAACATCTTTAGGAATAATGTGTTTCTGATGGTTTTGAGATATCATTTTTAAAATACAGAATAGTTTTCTGGGTAGTTTTAAGAAATGTCTGAAATTTATTTTGCAGCAGCAGCAGCAGCAGCAGCAGCTGGAGGAACTGCAAATAGTCTTACAGGCAGTACAAATGGTCTATTTCGGCCAATTGGCACTCAGCCACCCCAGCAGCAGCAGCAGCAGCCAAGCACTAATCTGCAGTCTAGTTCATTTTATGGGAGCAGTTCTTTGACTAATAGCTCCCAGAGCAGTTCTTTATTTTCTCATGGACCGGGTCAACCTGGAAGTACATCTCTTGGCTTTGGAAGTGGTACCTCTTTGGGTGCTGCTCTAGGCTCAGCCCTCAGTGGATTTGGTTCATCGGGTAAGTGTGTTTTTTAAGATGAGTATGCTCTGCTAGTGTGCATGAGGTATTCCTGTTTTTAATATTAAGACAAGCAATAATAGCATACATTGTAAGAAGTACAGGAATAAAGTGTTGGATTATTAGTTTAATTTTGTGGAAGGAAAAATACCCCCTCTAAGTCTTTTAAACATTTGTGAATGTTTAGCTCATTTCTAACAACCCATCCTTTACTTGGATATAAGACATTTCCTTTTTCTCCTAGCTTTAGGAATTTATTACTGTAATTTTTAAGATTTGTAAGGTATGTTTAGAACAGTATGCTTATTTTTAGCTCTTTCTATGCAGTATTTATGTTTGAGGAGATAACTACTTTGCTATCTTAAAATTCTGATATTTTTCAAATAATAATTGACTCACATGGTTCATTTTTATTAAATGCTAGTGGTTTATTACAGTTTTCTTTATTTGGCTTAACCTCTAAAATATGTGAAACACTCTTAACAAGCTCTTAAGAAACTACCAGTATGCTTGCCTTTATTTTAAATTAAACAATTTAGCCTTTGTCATTAAAAATTGATTTAATAGGATGTCTCTTAGCTTTACATAACTCTTAAGAAATCATAATTTAAAATAGACTCTCCTTAGGAAAAAACCCTAATTCTGATGATACGAATGGCAGCTTTTAGGAGGGCAGAAATATTCATTTGGGCCTCCAGAGATTTTTCTGTAACTTAATGTCCTAGAATCCTTAATATCCATTTCTGACTGTTTTCCCACCACATCAAATTATTTTCTTTTCTGGTGTGGAAAATGACAAAACTAACATAATGCCAGTTGTCACATACTTGCTAGTTTTTGGAAAGAGTAACTTCTGAACTTTTAGCATTCATATTTGTAGGAGGGCTGGTAAAGAACAGTTCTAAACTTTCAGGTACAAATGCTTTTTTTGTTACAATGCTATATAAGGAAATGTCATACTTCCTAACATAAAATGTTGTTAAGAATGGACACAAAAACTTGTGAGAGAAAAATGTAGTGAACATGGATGGAGACTGTTGGAGCTTTTAATTTTTAATTTTTTCATTCTTTTTGGAGTTCAATGTTTTTTATGTCCAGCTCATGCACTCCTGTAGGATTCATTCTTTGATTCTAACATAATTAGGACATTGTCCCCAAAGAATCTTAAATATTCTAATGAAAATTAAAAGAACATATAATTTCAAAATAAGCATTATGCAAATAACTAGTTTCTAAACTATATATTGTTGACCCTAAATAATTTAGGAAAAAGAAACCGATCTTTAATAAACTTCATGTTCCCTTTTCTAGTGTATGTCACTGATGATCTGGTGTAGATTTGTAGATCCTTTCCTCATTGTTTTTTTTTTTGTCCAGATTCCCATTTGTCCTTTAGATAAGACTTTCCCTGTTAGTCCCCTTTTAGGAACTGGTTGGCATGAACATTATATCCTTCACAAATGCCTCTTCCCCAAACTGATCTTCATGCCTTTCTTATAAGCATTGCATACTCAGTTCTGATGTCCAGTCTGGGAAATAGCCATTTTACTTGCTTTAGAGAGCTTTAGCCATTGACATCCCTGACAGTCTACCTTGTCCCTTCTCTTGGACAGTTTGTGAGAGTTTATTCAAGTGCTATACATGTGCATTTTTAAACCAGTCTATACATTGTCATTTCACAATTTTATACACAGGTTTGAATGATTAGTGATCTATTGTTTGTCTAGCCTCTTAGATATTTTAGGAACATTTTGTTTCATATTTCAGTCATAAAGTCACAGGTAACTTAGAAATACATAGTGATACTTAAAAGAGCCAGCTTCCTTATGTTTAAAGTAATTACTGAATTATTTAAACATATGACTTCTTAGAAGAAAATAATACCGCATGTGTTAAAAACTGGTTTCTTTGGTTATTTACCAGGGGAGTAATGATGCTGTTGCTCTCATTAGAGAGCTGTTGTCTTTTTCCTTACCAGTTAAATTATTTTTTAAAAATAAATAGAATTTAAAATATGCAATGAAGGTTTTCAAAAATTCACTTTGACAGTGTCCTTTTAAATTAGCACAGTTAATGTAGCATATGTTGACACTTTTGCCAAAACCAACTCCAGGAGAGCTGTTTATTACATTATTGTTTACATTTGTTTTTATTATAACGAATACAGCTACCTAGCAGTTTCCTATTATATGATGTCTTAATGTATAATTTGCAATAAAACACAATCCGTTTTTCAGAAACTGCATTGGCTGGTATAAAAAATTGGTAGCATTATAACATTTTGCCTCATACCACAGTGTGAGCCCAGTTTTGGGGTGGGTGGGGCTGGGGATTTTTTTGAGTTTTTTTTTTTTCCTTTATGGAATTTTTGAATTTGGCAAAGCTAGTGTAATTACAATTTTCATCTGTGTTGTTTACAAGCTTAACTTGGTTTACCCATCATGTGTTCTGCTTAATTGTGTTCTTTAATCCATACCTTATATGACCTACTTCTTATTTATGACTTACGATAGAAAACCAAGATTTAACAGAAATTTTACAATTCCTTGAAAAGAATTGCCATATTGGTCCGAATATAGAACTCGTCCTTAAAAACCTTATTTGGCTGGTTAACCAGTGTTACGTGAAATGCTTTTAAATGTAAACGGCATTTGATTAAAAGGGGCTATTGAGTGCTTAGAAATAATAAGGAAGTATATTTGAAAATAATAGGTTCTAAATAAAATTTGAGAATTGGAAGTTTTGGACGGCCCTAATACAAACACAGTAAGAATTTGATTATCCAGCTATAACAACCATATCTTGGCGTGCTCTTTTGAGCATGCATACATAGCTCTTCATCAAGGCCTACATGACAGTGTGATTCTATTACTTTATCATTTTTGTGGAGCACAAAGAGGAAAAAAGGATTTGAAGGTTAATAGAAATACAAAAAATTGGTTTGTAGTGTGATGAAGATGTGAGATGAGATAAATTATGTATTACCTGGGGTTGGGGGAGAAACAATCTTCTACTTGAGTAAGGAACTCAGGAGGCCAGTACTAGAAATCTTAGGAATGAAGAGTCCTGAGGGGAAGAAAATAAAAGCATACCTTTAATGTGATAATAAGTTATGAGTGATTAATTTTCTAAAAGCTTAATATTTTTATATGTATCTTATAATTTAGTTGTTGAAAAATAGAGGGGATGTATAGTATAAAAATTTAGCTCCCATGTGTATTTTTACAGTTGACTGATATTCGGGCCAATATGGACTTAAAGAGCTATGTGTTGAACATAGAAACCAAATGAAATGTGAATGGTGAAGGAAATTATTAATATTCCATTTATTTAGTGTAATCTTCTCTTGGCATTGAGTCGAAGTCTAAAAAACCAGGTTCCAGAGATTAGGATAATACCAAAGTTAATCTTACTGGAATTTAATCTTTAGCATGTCCTAAAGCAGACAACTTGAAATTCCAGGATTTATAAATCATACCAGGGTATTAAAGCACAATAACCATATGAGTCAGTGGTGAATATGTGTGAAATAATGATAAATATGACAGCTCTCTTAAGTATTTGGTAACTTTATTGGGGTGCATTTATACCCTTTTATGATTAATAAGTTAGTATATATAGTTAATCACAGTAATTATCTTCTCCATAATGTTTCTAAAAATAATTATTGTGATCACTTCTGTTATTGCCCAGCAAGAGTTGGGGATAGGTTTTATTCAGTTAACACTGTATGTAATTAGGGTTTTTTTTATTTCTTCTTCAGTTGGCAGTTCTGCAAGTAGTAGTGCCACAAGGAGAGAGTCTCTATCTACTAGCTCTGACTTGTACAAAAGATCTAGTAGCAGCCTAGCACCCATAGGGCAACCATTTTACAATAGTCTGGGATTTTCCTCCTCTCCAAGTCCAATAGGCATGCCTCTGCCAAGCCAAACTCCAGGACATTCACTTACGCCACCGCCATCACTTTCATCACATGGATCCTCATCCAGTTTGCATTTAGGTAAAAAAAAAACCAAAACCCTTTTTATTTGTATGTATACATGTATGTGTGTTTGTGTGTGTGTTTATAATATATGTAAAATATTTAATGTTGGATAAAACATGCCAAATTACTTTTGCTTTTAGATATTAGCCTTTTGAAAAAGTTCTACTCTCCTGAAAATTCAAACTGAGGGTCTAATGTACAGTAAGGTAAAGACCCCCTATCGTATCTTATGTTCCTTTTATGAAGTACAGTGGTGTGTTTTTTCTTGTCTGTGCTTTTGATTTGTGTGTTTTAAAGCCTCTGAAAAGTCAACTATGTATACATGATAGTAGAAGAAATTTCACTATCAGAAGTTTTTACACACCATAAGAAGAACATTAGTTACATAGTACCTGAATGTAAATTAGTTTAGCATGGTGGTGTTTGCTTTGGCCTTTGAATGCTTGGCCATTTTACCAAAAAGTTGTACTAGAGGAAACAAATTTAGTATGTTTGTGCTTTAGAGAAGCCAATGAACTTGGACCATATACTTCTTTTACTTTTGAATATGCTGTTAAAGGGGGAAAAATGTTTTAAGCTGGTTGTACCCCAGAAGTTGGGGTGTGTAGAACTTCTATTTATTTCTAAAAATTGTTACCACCCCCATATTATTAAATTGGTGGTTACTTTTTATCCCTCTCTGGGAACTGTTTGTCCATGCAGATAACAGTATATTTTAAAGAGTTTGGACATCACAGGCTGTGTATGAATCCCTGTTTCATCAAAGAAATTATTTCATTAGAATTAGGGTTTGAATTTTTGTAATTCTTTTTACAAGTGAAACAAGTTTCTATGCTAATAACTTTTATGTGCTTGGAAAGAGTTAAATTAGTATGGGATTTTAAAGTAATATTGCTGTATCATAAGCAGATAGTCTTAGACCGTAAATCAGTAATTCTGTTTGACTTCCAATCCCAGTCATGTGGGTATAACTTTTTTCCTCAAGTTCATGAATACAGTAAATATCCATATAACAAAAGTATCTGTTGCAGTGATTATCATTTAGATGTATATTATTGCACAGTGGGCTAGGTTACTTTTTTTTAACACACTCTTAATACTTCACCCCAGATTGTGAACCTTTTGGTTTATGGAAGATATTTGCTCTTTTGGGTCTGTTTTATATACAAGCAATTAATTTATTGATGGGGTCTAAAATTTTTCTTCACAACACTATTCATAGACTTGGCAGACACGCCTAGATTTTTATCCTGTTATATTCAGTTATCATCTGATCTTAGTCACAGGAGTTGTTCTGTTTTTGCCTTCTGTTATTACTAATTAGACACCTCCCCACTCCATGACTTGCCTTTGAAATGGACACAAAAATTTGGAACATAAGAAACCTAAGAATAGATCATAATACCATATCCCATCATAGTTTTGTGTTTCATTGTTAAGATTATATTTGTCATGTCCTGTCATTCTTTTCATAGGTAAGTTGCAGATCAGATTCCTGTTCAGCTGTTACTGCTTGTGTTGTGCTTTAGAGCCTGTAAACATGGCATTATTCAACACAACTTGCTTAGAAATTGGATATAAATGATTTTCTAGCTGTCTCTGTAATTAAACCACAATCTGGATATGTACTTCAACTTTTTTTTAGACTGTAAAGAGTCTAATATTTGCTTAAGGAAGGAATTCTTGTCAGTTATGGGAATTAATCACTTGAGCCAGCAGTTCTGTATTACAGCCTATATTTTTTTTTTATTGTTGTGCTGGGGATACATTGTGGCATTTATAAATGTACTTATAATGTATCAGATAGATACATGAATTCACACCCTCTATCACTCTCCTTTATCCATCCTTCCCACTATTCCTAGAATAGTTTTCAGCAGGTCCCATTTTTCCATTTATATACATGTATACACAGTATTTGCACTATATTCACCCTCCCATATCCTTTCCCTACCTCCTTCCCCCTCCCACTGGTACCAACCCCTCTAGGCAGGCCTTGTTCTTCCTCCCTTCTGTTTTCCGATTTTATAAATGAAAAAATAAAATGACATTTTTGTTTGCTTGAGATAGCTACACACAAGGAAACTCCCTATATTACTTTTGTGCCTATAGTTAAAGTCCTTAGTTTACTTCAGCTTGAAATGTAATATTGCAATACACCTGTGATTGGAATAAATATTATCTGTATTATTTTCTTTTGTGGTTCCTCAATTTCCTTTAACTCTAGTTGTAATATGACTGTCAATGTTAACACAAATCAGTGCCCGCCAGATTGAGAATAATTCAGATTCCATGAATTTTCTGTTTGCATACTCTTCATAAAAATAATCTGTCCTGTACTTTCCTATGACTGAATTATGATTCAAGGCTTCCACACATCTTTGAAGTATATTTCTTCTTGCTGATACATGAAATACCTATGGAAATGGAGTTTGCATGTTCATTTTCATAAATCATTTCACTTAGTCCATGTATTAAGATTATAAAGCCATAAAACACAGATAACATTTTCTGATCAGACACAGTGGCATGAGCTTGTAATCTCAGCTACCTTTGTGACTGAGGCAGGAAGATCACGAGTTTGAGACTAGCTGGAACACTTAGATAGATAGATAGATAGATAGATAGATAGATAGATATTGGAAATGGTTAAAATTAGTACTAAGTTATTCTCATGAAATTTTAAGACATGAATGTATAACCATTTTAGTTATTAATGGCCTCGGGATTTTGCATTCCCACTCAATGAGACATTAGTTAATTTTTTGTTTTTCTTTTTTTTTTTAAGTCCTCCCTTTGCTTGTGCTATATCTATTTAAAATTCACAGAAAATGCTTAAAAGCAACATTCTGTCTTGGCTTTCCAGAAAAGATGATTCTTCTTTTTTAAAATAGATATTTAATCAACATGCTTGATGGCTGGTAGTCTCTTTGATTGAAGGACAGTTATTTTGGTTTAAAGGTTCTAATTGTTTAATTTTCATAACATTTTTGCTCAGATTTTGAACCCTTTTAAAAATATGTTGAATTTAAAAGTATGAAAATGTAATTTTATCCTTCTGTTTTCTAATATGAAATCTCAAAGAGAAATTCCTTTTCTAAAATAATCATAACCACAATATATATCATTATCACACCTCTTAAATTTATTTTCTTCTTAACTCTGATTTCCCTAATTGACTTGAAATATCTTTAGTTTTGTTTGAACCACTGTCCATACAAGGTCCATGCATTATATTCGTTTTATACGTCTTTAAATCTGTAATTGTTTCTCCATCTTTTTTTCTTTGCATTTATTTGTTGAAAAAACTTTGTCCTGTTGTGAATTTCCCACATTCTCAGTTTTTCGGATTACTTCTAATGGTGGTGTTAACATGTGCCTACATCTGTGTATTTCCTGTAAATGGGATTCTGTCTAGAGGCTTGGTCAGATGATTGGTGGGTTGGTTGGTTTATTTTGGCAAAGTATGTTTCTGTGTACTTTCTGTTGCACTGTATCAGGCGATACAGCTGGTTGTCTTTGTTGTGAGATTGCCAACCTAATTCTCCACCTGATGGTTTTAGAACCTTTGACAATTGCCTAATTTCTTCAAAGGATACAAAATGGTGAGACTCTAAATTTTGTTATTCCTTCTGCATTTATTTTCTGGAAATTTTCTTTCATCACTTGTGAGATTACCCTGAAAATCACTTATAGGATTCAGGATAATGATTTATTTGTTTCCCTTATTTTCTGACATTCAGAATAGTAATCTCAAAAGGTGACTCATGAATTTTTTATCTTTATCATTATTTACAAACTAATGGATTTGGAGGATAATGGTATGCTTTAAATGCTTATGAGAGACATCAATTTCATACCTACTTTTGAACTTAAAATTAAATCATCTTTGACCACTTGGAGCCCCTTCAGATTGACTTCTATGTTGCTATGGCCTTTTTAAAGCAGCACTTAAATTTCTGGAGGTCAGAGAAAGAAGTGGAAAGGAATGGGAAAGGAAAAAACCTTAATTTTTATTCTGAAATACAAAAGGCTTAGTGTGAAATTCTGGGTTGCGTGAACTGTTTTCTCATGTTATATTTATTTATTGATCATAAGGGATCAGTAAATAAAAATTGCCTGTCTGCAGTTGTTTCATTGATCATTCTGCCCATAGAAGTCAGCATTTTATTTTGAGATATAACTGGTCCTTACCTTATGATGGTTTAATTTTTCAACTTTTACAAAAGTACAAAAGAATATAATCGTTGTATTTTACCTAGAGTCAAATAGCTAATTCCTCCTTGTATGATTTCTTTCAATAAACTTTTAAAATGTTAAGTTGATGATTTCTGATTTGCTATACTTCCATGCAAATTTTAGAACTTCTTAGGTATAAAGCAGCATTCTTAGGTTTTGGCAGATTAATATTCCTCTTCATTTTTGGAATTCTTTTTCTTTAGAAAAAATTATGCTAAGAAGTATAATGTGAGCTTTGAACTCAAGTGAATTTAATCTGTTGAAAGATGACTATCAACTCTGAAAATTCTTTAGTGTCAGGTATTCAGTGACTAGAAGTGTTTTCATTTGCTGTGGATTTGAAGATTCTATAAAACCAGTCTTTTTTCCTAATCAGAAAAATTTTGTATTAAAAAGGTTTATGTTAAAATTTTGATGATCTTACTCAAATAATTTGTAGTTATTATGAAGAGTAAGAGCTGATAAACTTTCTCTTAAATTATTTTAGTCTACCAAGAATTCACCTGGGATTCACATTATTGCAAATATGCCTATAATGTACACTAAATAAACATAGGATCATAAAGTAGCTCTTACAAAAAAATTTATATCTTTAACCAGATAACTTAAAAAATGAAAGCAACATGTGTCATGAAATCACATTGAAAAACATGTATCTTATTTGTGGAAAATGTTCCTGTGAGACTTGTTTCCTTGTGGTTCACCTAGGAGGAAATGCATTGGAAGGGCAAGTTCTTTATACAGTGAGTTGTAAAACACTGTCAGAAATTAAAGAA